CAAAATCAAATAAACCACATAATGGATTCATCCAGTATATGGACCTATCCATAGGTCGTGACAATACCTTCCATTCGTCTTCTCAGATCTCATTATGTTTGTGCACTGATAGTTGTGAAAGCAACAGTGCAAGGATGTAAGGCTCTGATCACTTCTTGCAGACATCTCTGGATCATCATATTTATTATTTTTTCCCCTACAATCCTTTTCGTTAGTCAATTAGTTGCTCTCTACTCTGAATAGTCAGCTAGTAAAGAAGAAACATTTACTTTAAGGAAGGGTTTGAGAAAGAGAAAGTGCAGCATTTTAAAGAAATCATTTGTTGGCAATGCTTCCGTTTCAGTTGTGCAACAAATAACATCAGACTTCTGGTGTTCTGGCCATTGGTAACTACAATTGATACCACTTTCTTCCTATTTGTTCCACTCTGGGTGTGTTTGTTTATTTTTTTGCCATTAATGTTCTTTTGTCTTGTGATGTTTTTGTGATTTATATTGCTTTTTGTTTTTAAATGTTTTTAAATGCAACTGTAAACTGCTCATTTACTGGGAGCCAGACGGCATATAAAATTAACAAATAATTATTATGGTTGTTCCCACAGTCAGCCAGATGTTTAGACTGGATATGGCATTTTCAGCCATCTATCGGGTCCTTCCCAAGGACCTGTGATAGGCAGATGTTGTTGGATGCGGTTAAAGGTATAGGCACAGTTGCAAGTAAAGCTGCCTTTTGCAATTGACTGATGGTGATTTTGTCAGCGCAAGGTGTTAATTGCCTGGATGGTATTTCCTCCATTGAGTTTGGACTTTAAGATCTTCTTCGCTCTCATGATATATTCATTTCCAGCCTTCTTCTTTACTTCAGTATGCTTGATGTTGTTATTTTGAAGGATGTCCAGGTATCTGTAGTGATTTTCTTTATCCACACACTGATAATATTTCCGTAGGGCACCTTGATTCCTTTTTTTTTTTTTACTATTTTGCTCCTGTAGATGATAAGCATGGCATTATTAAATATACAATAATGTGAAATCACAGCTGCTAATTCTTTCCATTGTTGGCTTTCATAAACATCAAGTTCTTCCCAAGAACCAACAATGTCCTAATGTATTGGCATAGTATATATGTGGATTCATGCAGTGTGGACTTTTGTAAATGGCCAATGGAGTATTGTCCAAATTTTGGGGGGTATGTTACCCAGTCTGTTGGTAACTACTGGGATTACAACAGCTGGTTATATCAAACTCGTTCAATTTGGCTTTCCAGATCTTTGTACATTACGAACTTTTCAAATTATTTATTTTCTATTAAACTATATTATATTATACTATATTATACTATATTGCCACATCAATTATCCACACTTCCTTCTTTTATTTATTTTAATTATTAGTATTATTTATCAGCTTTCTAATAAGGCAGTATTGTTAAAACAAATAAGAAGATTAGCTAGGAACATTGGTTGAGATATTTGGATACTGCTCAGGAATGAAAGGACTAGACAGTTGTTTTTGCTCTCTAAATGTTGTTCTTTGTAAAAGCTTTAGCTCCCATAGCATAGAATGTCTGCTGAAACTCAGAAACATTCATAGAAAATAATTCTTTCTTGCTTATATGTCCAGTTTTATTTTTTCCATAATAGCTTTTTTAATTTTTTGCCTAAATCAATATATGCCCATATGTTTATTATGACTGTATTTCTTAAATTCAGAATATTTAATCCCTTTTTTAATTTGAAAAGCTTAAAACAATAGATGCATTAAGTGTGAGTAAAACAGCAATAATTTCTAATAAAAATGTTTTGTGTAACAAATTGAGAATGCAGAACTTCAGTATTCTCCTCCAACTTGGTGCCTTTTGTGTATTAAGAGTTCAGGTGCCATGATTCGCAGCTGGTGTGACATTATGTTGGCCAGGAATTATGAGGAATTGAAGAACAATGTATTCAAAAGACCATCAAGACGAGGAAGATTGGAATGGAATGTTGGAACACAAGCTTTTAAAAACATAGTTTTATTATTTAAAACTATACAAAGAAGGAATTTCTCCTGATACAGACTAATTTCCCTTTGTTTTCTCACTTTTTAAATTTTTTTGTCCCTTTGTTTAAGATTTCAGTGAAATGAAGAGTTTGAGGAAACGTTTGATGGTTCAGACAAAATGGTGGTTGCTGCCTGGTGCAAAAAAGGAGCTGATCCAATAATTAGTAGAAAACTAGAAATAGTTTTTACTTCTATTAAAATTTACAAACAACCAGTTATGGTGGGGGGAGAATACCCATCATAGATTTTAAATTTCTGGATCGCTTCTCTTTTGTCAACTTGCTAGAATGTTTTGAGTAGATGTCAGTAGACTTTGCTTGTTAAGCTCATATACACATGGCATGTTTGATGAAGACCCCAATGTAATCATTTAAGACAGAGGCTATTTACTCCACAATAGACAAATTTGACTCCCCTGATATGATTCAAATGAGGAGAACAGAAAGATTATATATTTAAGACTTGTTTGTATATTTTCCTCATTGAGACCATAAAAGAATACTGAAAATCTTTCATAGCATTTGTGCCTTGGATATAGACAGCCCTTCACCACATATCTACTGTATAGCTCCTCATTATTTGGCAAATAATGGCTGATTGAGCTACTTTTTCAGACTGACTATCTTTATGATCTGTTTTGGGAAAGTATGTAGCAGCTGTAGGAAGCTGTCCCTTTTCATCATCTGTTCTCTGTCATGATGTGTAAAAAAAGAGGCATGTTTGTATAAAAGCTCTAGGAAATTCTGAGTTCATGATTCATAGATCTGAGGATAAGGAGACAAGACTTTTACAATGTGGACAATTTATTCAAATATGAAATAGAACCAAGATGGCAAGATACACCTACTACAACTTGTGGTTATTGTCAATATAATCAAAAACTTTCTTGATTTTGCTTGGAATGTTTTAAATATACATTTCTTTGTAGCACAATCTTCCATGTTTTAATTTAGCAGTAAATCCCAATAAGTTCACTGGAGCTTGTTCGCAAGTAAATAGGTATAGAATTTCAGCCTTAGGTAAAATGCTATAGGCAACAATAGCAGTTGATTGTATACTTTGTCAGACAAAGAAAATGCAAATCGAGGGCAAAAAGCATGCTGTTGTATCAAATAGCCTCCTTTTTCCATTTTCTATAAAGATTATAAGAAGCAAAATAATTTGCTTGGGTTTAGTTAAGGTAATTTTTTAAAATTGTCTAATGAGAGTGCATTGTGCTAATGTTCATATGTGGATTCAATTAGCATTTAGTTAATTAGCCTTTACAAATGAGGATTAACTTAATTACATAACACTAACCTCTCAATAACTCTAAAGGGTAAAAAAGCTGTTTTTATTAAATTTAGAAGGCCTGTATATGTGCATTAAAATCTGAAATGGCACACACATAAATGAAAGAATATTACCCACAGAGGATGACTATTAGAGATGATGATCAAAGGAAGCAAATTGTGTATGTGATTTATTTTTTTTAAAAAAGGATGGCATAGATAGAATTTCATGCACATGTGTATAGCAACTGGTTTCTATGCTTATTCCTGCTTTATTAAGAATAAATGTATTTAAACAATAGTCATTGGAGATATTTTTTTTTTGCCTGATGTATAGTCTTTGAGAGATCATTGATTCATATGGTTTGACCTTGTGAGTTATTAGCATCTTTTGGAAACAATATGTATAAGTAAGTTTTGGGGGGAAATGTATTTATTTATATTTCAATCTGACATATTGGTTTGAGGAACTTTGGCTATGTTGGGCATGGGAAATCACAGATTCAGTTTGAGAAATTTGAAAATTAATATTATTCCAGATATTAAGGACTGGATTCAGGAGATTTGTTATCTATCCGTTTTTGACATTTTGAACTTGATAGATTTTTCAATTTTTTTCAATTCTGTATGAAGTCAGTGCTTTGTTGACATTTTTATACAAGCAAGGAATGTTCAGTGTGAAAGCTAGACACTATACATAAAATACATTCCAAATTGTGGTATTAACTTGGAGATTGTGACAAGGAAGATGGATCATTCTCAGATCTGACTATAGTGACCCATTTGCAGTGTTTAGGCTAAGAAGGTTAATGGCTGGATTTACACTGGATTTACACTGGATTTAATGTCCACCACCAAGTCACCACAGCTTTATATTTTAGATGTCACCATGGGCGTAGATGAGAACCAGTGGCTCTTCCTAAACTGCCTAAAGCCATTTTTTAATTCTTGGCAGTTGATTCTCTGTTTCAATAAGGCATTATAAAATATTTATTTAGAAACCATACATCTCACTTTCCTTGCAAAAATCCAGGGTTTACACTGAAAAACAAATGCATCATAATTCAACTAAATGATCCTTTGGTAAATCAATTCATTTGTCATTCTTTGCTGATGTTCAGCATTATCAGCCTAATGTTGTTTTGAGTTTGAATATCTCCGCCACTGCCTTATTAGCTATTATTTTGTGCATTTTGAAATTCATATTCCATGACAATTTTATTGGAATACTTTGTGTTATATTAAAAATTGCAAATACTATGAGAAACACTACGTGCTCCTGGAAAATACAGTATGTGGCAGCACATAAATGAAGTGTATCAGTGTTTCTTAAACACTGTTATTTTTAAAGACTGTTTTGCCTGCTTTTTAAACAACCATTAAATGTTATGTTGGAAGATACTTGAAAAGCCTGTTCCTTTACTTACTTCTATCTCGGCTTTATTGTTTTTACAAATAACTCAAGGAAGCAAACACATCCAACAAAACTTTCTCCTCCTACTTTCCCCACAACAACTAGTCCAAGATGAGTTGGATTGAGAGAATGACTGAGTCAGAGTCATTCAGTCCTTTATCTCTGTATCTAGATTTTTTTTCATCTGTAAAAATTCTTGAAATCCGATGAAAGTTCAGTGTTGGTAAGGCAAAGAACCAGCTATAATTTCTGTCATCTCTTTGCATTCATTCAGGGCTTTTGGGAGAGCCACAACAAGCTGATCAGTGATTATGGACCTTCTTGTGGGTAAGTTGTTCTTTTTTTTTTTCTTGTTCACTTTTTAATTTAGGGCATGAACCTTCTTGTGAATTTTGACATATGCTTAGCCATCAACCATCCCTGATCTGGTATTTTTTAGTTATATTGAATAAGAATTTCCATTATTCTCCCTAAGGTTGTTATAAATTGGATCCAGTTATTTATTTACGTCTTTTATTCAATTTATATGGCCACCCATCTCACATATGTGACTCTGGTCAGCAAGCAAAGGTTAAAAACATCAATATAATTATAAAAATGGCAATACACCACAGAGAAAATGTTTTTAAAAATGGCCAAGAATGAACATCCATTTTAATAACAATAGCACACAAGCTTATCTGACCTCTTAACCCTCTCAATGCTAGGAGGGTGGGCTCTTAGCTGATGCAAAACCAGAAACTTGAGTGAACACAAAGAGTAGTACACCTCTTTTGAGCTCAACCAGCTAAAATAAACTAGGTCAATTTCTACACTCTCAGAATGTCCCTTCAAGACTTCTCATGTTCAAACCCATACATACCATCCCTTAGAGATTGGAGGCTAAAACATATAAATAACGGTTGCTGGAATTGGGTATGTCTAGTTTAATGAAGAGAAGGACAAGGGGTGACATGATAGCAGTGTTCCAATATCTCAGAGGCTGCCACAAAAAAGAAGGGGTCAAGCTATTCTCCAAAGCACCTGAAGGCAGGACAAGAAGCAACAGATGGAAATTAATCAAGGAGAGAAGCAACCTAGAACTAAGGAGAAACTTCCTGACAGTTAGAACAATTAATCAGTGGAACAATCTGCCTCCAGAAGTTGTGAATGCTCCAACACTGGAATTATTAAGACAGTGGTTCTCAACCTTTTTAATGCCGCGACCCCCCAACTGGTCGTAAGTCGAGGACTAAACCGGTCATAAGTCAAGGACTAAACCAGTTGTAAGTCGAGGACTACCCAACCGGTCGTAAGTCGAGGACTAAACCGGTCGTAAGTCGAGGACTAAACCGGTCGTAAGTTGGGGACTACCCAACCGGTTGTAAGTCGAGGACTTTCCCTGCCCGGGAGCGCCGTGCATGCGTGGTTCCGCCCCCTGCATCGGCCGAGGCGTAGCTGGCAAGTGGCAGAGACGGAGCAGGCTGACCACCAGCTGGCCCAGCTCAAGGGAGGTAAGGCACCCGCCGGAAAAGGGGAAAAAAATGGCGGACAGCCTTGCTTGGTGACCCCCGTGAAATGGTCGATCGACCCCAAATGGGGTCGCGACCCATAGGTTGAGAACCACTGTATTAAGAAGAGATGAATAGCCATTTGTCTGAAATGGTATAGGGTTTCCTGCCTAAGCAGGAGGTTGGACTAGAAGACCTCCAAGGTCCCTTCCAACTTTGCTATTCTGTTCTGTTCTGTTCTTAAGCAAATCCCACACTTGATCCTCTAGTTCAAAGATTGCTGGGTTTTTTTTACTATCACCTGAAAGAAAACCTCTGTCTAAAGATGCAGTGGGTTACAACTTTCATTGATCCTTGGGGGGGGGCTGCTCCATTCATCATCATTTTAAAGGGGATGATTATTTCCTTTATGTCTTCTAAATTCTGTCAAATGATCCATCTGTTTTGCCATCCAGTGTTCGGGGGAGGATCTAGACCCTTAACACTCCTTCTGAAGACCCCCACTATTATATTGAACAGATTTGTCAGATGGGATAAAATGCATACAGTAATTTCTAATGGAACATTTTTAGATTCTTGACAATTATTTGAATCTGTATATGACTTCTGTTAAACTAACACAGCTGTGACTTTTCAGATTTATCTTCTCAATATTTTTTTCATTTTTGAGGACTGACCTTCCATTTTACTGAGATTATGCTTTTTTAACGCTGAATGATGGCACTTGCATTTAAAGCCATTAAAAACAAAAGCCAAAATCTTCAAATGTCATATCTCTGCAATTTTAAATACCAAAAATTCCCAAGTGATACAGGTTTAATCACTTTTAAGCCTTTTCTAATGACAAAAAAGAGAATGCTAATTATTTTAAGCACCATATTTTAGATACTGAAATATTTTAACTACTGTTAACTACTGCTAAAATATTGATAAGAAATTTTGTGTGTTATCTTTCTCTTACTACCATTTGTTATTATATTATGATATTCAAAGTTTATGTTAGTGATACAAAAACTTAAGATTTTGATTTATTTCAGGCATAGATACAGATTATTCATTCTTTAGTATTTAGCATTTACTTTTTTCAAAACTTTGCACTTTTTAAGTTCTTTGCTAAAATCTAGATTTCTAGCAATTCTTCCCTCCCTCTCCCCCCACCCCAAATGAATTGGTAGCACAACTGTTCACTCCATACCTGTGAAAAGATCTGCTGCTTTGAAGAAAAGCCAATGTTGGCAAAAGTACAAAAACATTTTCTAAAAAAGTTCTAAAAGGAAGTGATATTTCTAAAATAATAGTGAATGGAATGCTGAATTAAAATAATTTTCTAAAGTTTACAAATAGATAAAAAAAATAACACAAACAATACAAATAATCTTTGACTTATGACCACAATTGAACCCAAACTCCTTAGTCAAATATTATTTTTCTGTTGTCATAATGGGTCTCTGCTACTTTATGTATAATGCTTAGTTCTCTCTGGTTCCCTCTAGTCAATATTCAAAATACTCTCTTCTCATATATTCATTTTTTGTCTTATCACTGAAATAATTAATATTGGCTGTTTAGTATAATGAAACATAATGAAACATCCAAATGAAAAAAAATGATAAACTTAGAAAATATAATACAGTCATCTGTCTTAAGTGTCATGTATCATTCTAGGGCCTAGGCTTCCTAAAAGCTCTTCAATAATTTCCAAACATTCTATGGTTTCTAGAAGACAAATCAGTTTAAATTGTAGAATATTTCAAAATATATACTGTACAAAATAGAAGTTCCCTAGTACATGGGGAAATTATGATATACTTAATTTCCTTTTTAATCCATTTCCTTTTAATCAGTTGACTATCTAGTTAAAATAAATGCTTTTTCATATCTCTGTTCAGAAGTTTATACTTTAAACTTATTTTTTTCCTAGTGAATATACGTAGATATATAGTATACAAACACATAGATTTCTTTTTTCAGCTAAAGCAGCTACCATTTTGTGGCTTGACAAATATTTGGGAATGGAAAAACTCCCTCATGGCCACCACATCACTCAGAACATGCTCTCTGAAATTCAAATATGTTCTGACTATAACTGACTAAAACATCTTCCTTCTTATGTGCGATAGGGGATTAAAACAATTAATTTCTTTAAAAAGACCAAAAACAGAAAAAAGAACTTTAACCTAATTGGTTTTAAAAACTGATTTTAAACAGTTTAAACTAATTTTTCTAGCTGATTCATCCATTAGAGATTGCATGCCTCTTTGTTATTAGAAAGAGTGCCAACATTTGAGCACATGTAGTATTCCATTACTATGGAGCAAATTGACATAGAAAAGTGTGGAGGTGAATAATACGGAGAGTGCCAGAAGCATTTTATTTGCTAGAAACAAACAGCACTTGTGACATTGTTCCAGGTTTCTGAGGTGAATTTTTGACAGAAGCTTTCAGGAAATGCAGCTCATACTGGGGAACAAATTGGTTGTTGTGACATTAGATCCCACTCTAGAGTGTCTGTTAATGGATCTGGGAACTTTAGACAAGTAAAAATAACAACAAACTAAGTACTGAAAATAGAAGAGTAACCAAATTCATCCACCTCGGCTGGATATAGATTACTAACAAGCTTTTTCAACCAGCTTGCATACAGTTGCCAAGTAGTTGGCATGGACATGTCCATGAGTCTTTAGAAGCTGAACTTCATTCAAAGAAAACGTTGTGTCAAGGTTCCGATAGACAGGACCAAACAAATGAGAATTCTGAGGCTTGAGATTTCCTCAAAGAACATGTTTATTGATTACATAGTATCAACATGATCAAAAGTGAAACCAAGTCTGAAATTCCCTTCAAAGAGAGACAATATTACAAAGTTGAACTTCCCACCCCAGTGCTATGTAATTAGCTACATTCCCCAATAGAACAATTTGGCGGGCTTTCTAACCAAATGCTCACACCCCCCCATCTGACTGACAGAAATGATCTTGTTTCCTATGGGACAGTAAAATGTTTAGACTAGTAGAAATCCTCCACACCCCTCCCATTCCTGTGGCAACCTAGAACGAGCAAAATGGCTGCAGCCAGGTTCGTTGTAAAGTTGACACTTTGCTTCTGTTACACAGCCATGAAGAGATGAATTTTTATTTAGTGAAAACCAGTCCAGCAGTTGCTTCAAATATAATTGTTTGTTAACTGATAGGCAGTTCGGCAACTATAACTAAGTGAGGTTGTTGAGGTTCTTCAACATTGTTGAAGAACATATTGCATGTGCTGTGCCCATCTAGGTCGTCTCTGGGAAGGGCAGGAGAAGAGTTGATGTGAATCTCTGGAGACTTGCCCCTCAGCTGCCGGAGTCATACTTTGACATCTATTTATATTCCTTGTAGACAGCTGGTCATTCCCTCCATTCCCCACCATCCAGTCAGAGCTGAAGAAGCTTCTTGGATGAGACATGAAACATCTTCAAAGAAAAACAAGAAAGTCCAGTTGTCTCCTGAAAAACCACCTTTGGGACAACCATGACCTGGATGACTGAGAATCTCCATAGAATTTAGTTATGTCCTTGAGATGAACACCCTTCGAGTGGTGCAGGAGTATGAACGGATTTCCAGAAAACATTGCAGACTACACGAACCATTTGCACTTCAATTTGAGATGCACACAACACAGACTCACCCCCAACAGCCTGTGCCTGTCTTCAAGAGTGAAGGGACACAGGGCAGAAAACATCCTGCAGCCAAGAAGGCTCCACACACATTTGCACTACTCAGCTGATCCTGAGGACACAGGTGAACCTCCAAATGGCCCCAACAGCTCTCTAAAAGAATGCAAATGACCAGCTGTCTG